GTCCTCTTTTGGAAGACCAAACAAAGTAGTTTCGCTTTCACAACGAAGCACACAGCGCCTTCACGACACGGCGGCGGCAACAACAACACTACAGCAAGACTAAAAGTTACGCCTTCTTTCTTTGCGTGAACATTTGGGCGGTGTTATGCAAATCTTCCCACATAGTGATGTAGATATGTGGGGGCGTGTTAGAACGAACCGTTTTAGGTAGGCGTGGCTGACTCTTAACTTTTATAAAGAATATCTCTTTGGTTTTGAGACTTTAGTGTTTGCAACTTTACAGATCTTCTTTATGCACCAAGAGCTTGTAACACTCCAAAGAGAAAGGAAAATTTGAAATCGCATCATATGATCCCTTTAAAACGTAGATCAACTATCCGTCAAAAAAATATCCGTTTTTTTTTTCCGTGTAGCCTCGGTTGCAAACGGCTGCTGATCTGATTGACAGTCAATGAAAACTGGTCAGCCTTGCATGTTGCGGGTTACGTCACCGGTGTCCATGTCCCGATGCACCTGTTGAGTCAGGTAGGTGTAACGTTATCTGTAAGTGTGTTCACACAAGCGGGAACGACGAGCGTGCAGGTCAGACCGTTCCCCCTCACTTTCTGCTCTTTGTGAGACAGTTCGAGGGCAGCTGATTGAGCACCGGCTGGATATTTGTGCACTAACAGTGAAATCCAGGTCGAACGAGCTTGTTGTGCTCTCAGGACTTCCGGAAGAAGCCCGTCACACTGCGACATTTCCCCCATACGGTGTGAGTAACGTCCAACAATAACAACGTTTATTCTTTCTTATTCATGTTACTCCTTAAGATCACCTAGTTTAAGTATTTCCCGCATGCAGTGGTGAACTAGTGCGCTAGTTAGTCTGCTTCCTAAAGCCGCATTTCTGTGATTTGACCGGCTGTTTTGCGGCAGAACTGCACTATGTTTGTTTGTTTGGGGACTTGTGTGAACTTTGTAGCTTTTCCCAATTTGTAAATAATCAGTTGCGGCCTTAAAATAGAAATTAAAATGAGTATATGTCGATTACTCTGCATCATATAGTGTAATCTAAAACTCTATTTAAATTGAAAGTGATTATTTATTTATTTAATTACTTCACCAAGTCTGCTTTTTAAAGTTGATTTGTTTCAGTAGTGTCGAAAAACATACTTAATCATATTTGAGAATGTAAAACGTAATTCACCTGTATTTCCTCGACTGTGTCCTCCTCAAACTGAGTATGTATAAATACATTTATATATATATATATAGCTATGTTTACATAGCTCTGATATATATTCTGTTGTTAATAGATTATATTGTAGGTTATAAAAATATAATGTAAATATTAAAAATAATTAATTGTGACAGATTTTATACTGTTAATAATGATGTTTGGAGTTTCCCTTCTATTGTCCTCTAAACGTCAGCCTAAAATAGGTAGTAAGCAATATGGTACACTTTAAATACGAATATTATAACATTTATAGTAAAAACCGGCAGCTGTGGTGTCAGGACATACTTTATACGCATACTTTGTTATGTATATATAGTACAGTGAAGATGTTACAAGTGTTACAGGATGGCCTTTCGACTGTCTGTATTATGTAGGGGTGAATTCAGGTCAATTTGGACAGTTTTTGCATTGATTTGATTGGGAAAAATGTCCCCAATTAACCTGAATCAACCCTGGTTCACATGTAGAACAAATTCACTTTCTTTTCCTCGCTGTATTATATATTTCACTTGTATATATCACAGTGGTAAATATACAAGTATATCTGAGCGACTAAAATGTATTTATTACTGTACTTAAGATGGCATGATGGAAGACCACATAATGTTGAAAAAAAAAATCTGCAGTAAAATTACGTGTTGTCTTTTAAAATGTATAATTTTTACTATTTATGATAAATTTTTTTTCCACTTTAAGGCTTTAGTTGACACAATGAAACTTTATACGTGTTTCTAAGCCTGGCTTTCTAAGTGTTGAGGTGAAAGTTTTACTTTCACTATCTTATTAACAACGACAACAGCCAAGAAAGCAAACACAAAACAGCTCTTAAACTGGTTGGTTTGCATCTCTTGGGGAAATTCGGGACAACTCGCTGCAGTTTTGTTACTAAGACTGCTTGAAAGTGTAAGATAAAACTAGAGCTGCACGATTCTGGATAAATTGAGAATCGTGATTTTTTTATTGTCTCGAATAGAGATGACGATCCTCCCACGATTCTGAACTAAACAAAATAATGTGTGGCAAAATATGATTGCTGCACTCTATTTAAAAGTGTTTAATTAATTTGAATGAATTATTAAACATTTTAATATACACTACCAGTCAAAAGATTTTGGACCGTAAGATTTTAAATGTTTTTAAAGAATTCTCTTCTGCTCACCAAGCCTGCATTTATTTGAAACAAAGTACAGCAAAAGCAGTAATACTGTGAAATATTTTTACTATTTAAAATAACTGCTTTCTATTTGAAATATAATTTATTCCTGTGATCAAAGATGTATTTTCAGCATCATTACTCCAGTTTTCAGTGTCACATGATCCTTCAGAAATCAATATAATATGCTGACTTGCTGTTCAAGAAACATTTTATTATTATTATTATTATTATCATCAATATTTAAAACACTTCAAAAACTTTTGACTGGTAGTGTATATGTATTTAAAATATAATATATTTAATACACCAATTTAATATTAAAATTATGAAAAAGCTGTTTGAATCATTGATTCAACGACTCACTCATAAACCTACTGGATGAATCAGCATTTTTTAACGATTCTCTTGAATAAAGATTCATTCAATTATACATTTTTTAAGTCACTTTTCGCCACCTAGTGACGAAACAATGCAATCGATACAAACGTTATGTGGCAGGTTTAATAGACACGGGAGAATCTTTGTCATTTAGAAATGAGATCGTGTGGTTGTCTGAATCGAGATCGCGATCTTTTAACGATTAATCGTGCAGCTCTAGATAAAACCTTCATCTCATTCCAGTTTCTCCTATTATGTCTCTTTAACAGACCCTGCGTCTCAGATCCTGTGACTCAGTCCAGCGTCAGGTAACAGTAGAAACAGCCACCAGAGGACGGTCTGGGCCGAGTGTTGTCCCTATGGAGAGCGCCCCGTCCTGGACCAGTGGTCCCATTGATGAAGGGCCATACCGAGAGCGCTCCGTTGACCCCGTAGAGATTGAGATCCAGCCCTTCGGAGTGAGGCACAAAGTCAACAAGGATGCCAACGGCAATACGACTGGGCCGGAGACCGTAAGCTTTCTCCCCTCCAAAGAGGAGCCCGTCTCGGGGACGTATATGTGCGTACCTTGTGCTTCTGTGCGAAGCTGCAGGAAGCTCTTTTGTAGCGTTTTGACTTGTGGACTGTACCGCGTGTGCCGGCGCTTACCTTGTCTCCTTTCGAGCGAAAGCTCAGCTCCCAAAGCGCCGGTGGAGAACCAATCAAGTCCTCCACAGGCAGAGAACGGCTTCTATCCTGACATCCGCATTGGTGGCGTCAAAGTGGACACGTCCGTCATTGAAGATAATGCATCAAGTCCTCCACAGGCAGAGAACGGCTTCTATCCTGACATCTGCATTGGTGGCGTCAAAGTGGACACGTCCGTCATTGAAGATAATGAGGAGCATGCATCGTTTTCCACTTCCAAAATCGAGATGGACAGTCCGATTTACTTCAGTAGTTTACTGGAGGATGACTTACTCTGCGGCAGCGGGATGGAAGACGTGGACAAACTCATCACCCGGAAGCTCATGGAGGTCTTCTCTGAGTTTGAGATCAACGAGCTGGCCAAGTGCACCACGGACTCCATGTTCCTGCGGCGCTCCCGGGAGATCAGTCAGCTGATCTCGGATATCGTGGAGGAGCACGACATGGAGGAGCAGGAGGCCGAGTGCCGGCTGGTGCGAGAGATCATTCGCATCAGCACACGCAAGAGTAAGAAGAAGCCGCAGGTCAGGCCGCAGGAGCTGCAGCGGGACAGCGGCAATGACACCTGGAACAGCAAGAGGAACAGCCAGAAGAGCAGCTTCAGTTCCATGAGCGATGGAAGTGAGTGGCAACAACAGTTTTCTTTCTTTTCCTCGCCGTCTAGTCCTGAAGTTCCTCAAATTTTGTTTTCAGTGGCGTCTTGCATACCTCGAACTTTCATCATCATTTACAAAGCTTGATGATGTTCTTTCTATGCACTTTAAAGTGAATGGTTACAGATGTTGCCAAGCCCTGAACTTTCGGTGTGTGTCTCATAGTTCTTGTTGAGAGATATATTTAGAAAGCAAGACTGAGTCACTAACGCTGTTTGTCTATATTAGTATCTGGAAATCACTGCATGCCATATGTTGCGTATAATGACAATGTATAAATAAACCATTTTATTCTGTCTTTAGAGTTGCAGATTTCGATGGAGAGGTCAGATGACATTGAAGCCAGGAAGTTACGCAACAGCAGTAGCCAGTGTAAGTAATGAATTAGATTGTATGAGCTATTTACATTGATTTTTCTTAAAACACAAAACTTTGAATAATTATGGCAATATGAAAACACGTCTAGGATGCATTTCACCCCCAAAACTATTTTCATGACAGTTTAAATTCCCATGATGTATAAATGCAGTTTAAATATTTGTATTTCAAAAGTTGAAATGTTCAAAAGTTGTTGTTGTTTCGAAAGAAACAATGTTGCACATTTACAATGTTACCAAAGGTTTATATATAAAAAAAAAAAAAATGCTGTTCTTTTTTTAACTTTCTATTCATCAAAGAATCTTGAAAAAATCGGGCAAATCAGCATATTATGACACTGAAGACTGGAGTAATGATGCTGAAAATTCAGCTTTATATCACTGCAATAAATAACTTTTTAACATATATTCACATAGAAAACAGTTATTTTAAATGTTAATAATATTTTGCAGTATTACTGCTTACTGTATTTTTGATCAGATAAATGCATGAGGGTCTTTTAAAAAAAAAAAACATGAATAAATCTTACAGAGCCCAAACTTTTAAATGGTACATTACAATATATTTTTTTCAAATTACAATAATGTGAATGAGAATTTATGGTAGTGAGAATTCTTATAAAATATCACAAAAATAATATTGCAATGCAAAAAATTACAGTGATTCTAAACCTCCTTTTTTTTATACATGCAAAATATAATTTCTTATTTCGGAGTGAAATATGACCTGGACTTTCGTGAGATTCACCCATAGTTTGTTTTGCATAAACCTAAGTCATGCACAAAAAGTCCCCATGCTAATGTAGTTAGCTCTCAGCTGAGCGCGGTTCTGTGCATTAGTGTAGCAGTGCTGTGCGCCGCTCCCTGCCTGTATTAAAGGCTGTTGAGTGGCTGCATCAGCTCTGGAAGAATGAGAGGGGTGTGTGGCCGCTTTCTCTCGTGAGTTTGAGGGGTTTGTGATGTAACCAACCACATTGTCACAAACAATGCTCTCTTGTCTGGCAGCCATCTGATCGCTTACACTCCTCTGAATTTGAATGTCTCTTTTCCTCATCAGCGGTGGTTTACCCCTCCCCTTCTGTTTGCTTGATGTTATTTTCATGCTCTACAATGTTGGCAAGCAACAGCTGGATTTTTTTTTTCCATAAACGTTTGTGGGAACATGAAGTTGAGAATATACTAACTTTCAGCATGCTGTTCCGAGAGCACAGATTGTTACTTGCTCTCTGTAGGATCATATCCTACTTTATCATTTTAAAATATTAAAGGGGTCATATGATGCGATTTCAATTTTTCCTTTCTCTTTGGAGTGTTACAAGCTCTTGGTGCATAAAGAAGATCTGTAAAGTTGCAAAGACTAAA